AGACGTCACTGGAGGCGGAGTGGGCAGTTAGCTTCCTCCGCACAGACCGGGGGACCCCAGGAGCCAGAGGCTTTCGGACAGCCCCGAGCGGAAGGAGATTCCTCCTCGAGCACCAGAGCGGCCGATCGCCTGCCACCTTCCCGGGGGTTAGGGGATATCGTGGTCTCACCCCACTAGATAAAGCTGGCCACGCCGCATCCGCAGCACAGGAGCACAGGAGATCACAGACCCTGAGTCCGCCAACGAACCCCTCCCCTGAGGAAAGAGTGAATTCCCCCTTCCGGGAGAACGCCGCGCCAGCCCCTACTTCCTCCTTCCGGGAGTTCTCGGCGAACCAATCACAGCCCCGCGCAGACACAGGCGCAACGTGCGCAGTCTCTCCCCTCCCCCCTCACATCCGGTGCTGTGCATTCTGGGAAGCCGAGCCTCCGGGTTCTGGCAAATCCCTCGCTGTTCCTTGGTTGTTCCGCGGGTGGGCGAATACGAGTTTGGCTTAGCTCGAGGGAGAGAGTGTTTCAGGGGTCCGTTGTGAGTCGGGCGGGAGGCCAGGCTGAGTCCGACTTCGGGCCTGCTTCGTTCCTCTTCTCGGGCCCCTGTTGATAAGGGCTGCGAGCCTGGGCGGTTCCAGCCTGCCCCTCCCCCCTCCAGCTGACAGCTCAAGTGCGGCTGTTTGTGAAACCGTAAAACACAAACGAGAAACGTGGTCGTAGTAAGAAAAAAATTGTCTACGTCAAATAAGGATCAATTTCTCGAGCTTGCTTCCGTTGAATGGCCCCATGGTGTAATGGTTAGCACTCTGGACTTTGAATCCAGCGATCTGAGTTCGAATCTCGGTGGGACCTTCTAAATTTTTCACTAATTTGATTTTACAGCTTTAGGCCGTTCATGTGACGTATTTTGTAGAACTCTCCTAATGACAGAAGGAAACATTAAAAAAAATTCTCTGATTCTTATTTCTCCCTTAGAGGAATACACCTCACTACTATAGAAACTAATCCAAACCTTTAAACAAACAGACGAGGTGGCCGAGTGGTTAAGGCGATGGACTGCTAATCCATTGTGCTCTGCACGCGTGGGTTCGAATCCCATCCTCGTCGGATTCTCTTGCCTAATAAAGGCGTAGATTTTAATCCTTTCCCTTTGGGGAAAATTTGCATGAGCTCTTTCCTTGCCGGAAAATAATAATTTCAGGTTAATCCAAGAAAAACCTGCCTAAAGTGATTTCCAGTAGCTGTGGGTCTCTCTCTAAGAAATGAAATTCGGCAGAGGCTCCCTCGTTTTGTACAACAAGCTATTCTATACTTTTTAATTCAGTGATGAAGGTAGGCACCTGCGCCCTCTTGGTGACAAATTCTCTGGCCTTGGTCAACCAGTTATACACTTTATTAAGCACTTACCGTGCTAGCAGCTGGAGGAGATAAAAAGGTGTACAGTTTAGCAAAGCCTGAATCCTTGCTTTCATGGAGCCAATACTGATTGCTCCCTCTTCTCCGGCAAAATTTACGTTCCCAGAATTTGCTGTGGGGTTTTCTGACTTCAAATGTTTGGTGCCTTCGGCATGTATCTTCATCTGTAACAATGTATCCATTTTCTGTTCAAAATGCATTGCTCTAATCCCCCTCTCTTGCATCCCTTCTTTCCTGACGTCTCATAGCAAACACGGTACTTGAAAGAACTTTGAGGCCGGGAGCAAATTTAGAAATAGATTCCTTGTTTCAGAAATATATAAATTGAATCAGAGGGACGTCCAAAGAAGAACTGGCCATTCCTACCCTCGCTCTTTTTAGAAAGAGGGAAGCTATCAACCTCAAGTCAGCAGAATCACCACATTGAGAGAAGTGGGACCAAAGCTCACTCTTTTTTAAAGTTGTGCCCAAAATTACACCTCGTAGTCGGCAGGATTCGAACCTGCGCGGGGAAACCCCAATGGATTTCAAGTCCATCGCCTTAACCACTCGGCCACGACTACTGCGTGCTTCTGGGTATCTCATGAATGTTTCATTTCTTCATTTCCTTTCAAGTTAACAGTTCAGTATCTTGTTCATAGTTGAACACATTAAATTTAGTGTTTGATAATAGGCACCTAATACATATTATTTAACTAAAAACACGAATGAATAACTGAATACCTGAATAGATTATTCTAAAGTTTTAATAAAAACTGTATTAGCAAGGTAGGTGAATGGTTAAGGTGATGAATTCGAAAGGCGTATGTAAGTTTAAGTTGTACCAACTTGAGGTCTTTTCTGTGTGTGTGTGTGTGTATACATATCTCCATATATATGTGTGAAGAGTTAGTGCCCTTTTGAAAAAAATACATGTGATTTTTGAGTCCTGTGTAGTAGAATAACTATAACCTAACAACTGGTTTTTTGAAGGCTTTTTTTTTAACCAGTTCAATTAAAGGGGATGATCTTCCTCAGTCAAGCAGACCTGACTTTACCAAGTACTTTGGAAAAGAACTAGTTGTACTTTTACATATCTTTCCACTGAACTCCCCAAAAAGTTTCTATTTGTCCCTGAGGTCTTGGGTCCTTTCTGAGGCCCAGAATGGAAAAGTGAATGGCTTCTAAACACCCAGGGTTCAATGCCTACTAGATTCAAAGTTTCGTGAGGGTCCAGATATGTCATTTCCTTTTTGCATTTTCTTTGGTTCCTAGCACAAGTATGTGCATGTATGTCTGTATTATATACATGTTGTTGAGGTTAGAGTTGGGAAAGCTGTTTCAGGTGTGAAAGAATTCACTTAGATGATTTTCTCTTAACCAATGGGAGCTTTATTATGTGTGATTAGCAAGGAGCTAAACAAAGACCCCTATATAGGAAAAGATCCAGGCTTATATAGACAGAAAGCAATACAACCTTTACGATGATGATGTTATTTTAGGGTTTCTTATGGGGGTTGAAGATTAGAGACAGGATAAGAACAAAGAAGATGAGAAAGATGGTTGCTTACAAGATAAGGAAAAATTGTTGTGACACAGGATGAGGAAGATGAATGACAGGATCAGGAAGACAAAGGCAATTCTTTTGGTACAAGTTGTATAGTATTTCACGATAAGGGGAAATGAATTTGAGAACCCCACAAGCTCCAGGATCTCAAGTTACAGGATGGTCTAGAGAATGAATCTCAAATCCCCTCAGGGGGCCTCGGACAGTAACTTTTAATATTATTTTTAATCCTAGGGCACCCTTTGTGCCCATATCAATATGAATTTATGAGTAAAACTGATGAATGAATGAATGTATGTGGCTGTGTGAAGTATTCTCTCCCCAGATCCCCACCTCAACATTATCTTGAGAAACTTTGTAATTTCTACAAAAATACAGAAACATACATCGGTTCCAAAAGCCCTCTACTCTTCGTCACATACAGGTACCCCCAGCTTGAGCTAGGAGGCCCATTTGTGGCCCTTTAACCCTGGAGCAAGATAAAGATATATCATTCCCCAATCTAGCCTAAGAAGATTTCTTGGTTTCTCCAGGGTCACCCCACTTTTTCTGGAACTTTATACTCTCAACTTTTCTTCACCTTATCTCCTCTCTATTTCGTTGATCATCTTAAACACACAGACTAATTCACCTCAAAGACAAAATAAGAATTATCCTCACCCTTAGTGGACACATCAGTTAACAGTGATGATAATTGAAGTTTATAAGTGCAACATTTAAGTGATAAAAGTTGGTGATATATTTCTTTTTAAAATTCAGTTTTATTTTACTTTAAGGTCCGGATTCTCTTGCACTTCCCTTCCCATCCCCCAACCTTAACCCCCATTGAGGAAGCCAGAAAAGCAAAACCTGTAACAAAACAAACAAAACCAAACAAATTTTGGCTCTGGCCAAAAAACACATCAAAGGAACAAATTAAAGTTTCAATCTGCACACTGAATCCATCACATCTCTATGTGGAAGCGGGTAGCATGTTGTGGTTTTGTTTTGTTTTTTTTAACGATACATTTCAAGGAGAAATGCTACAGGTGTCAGACAGACCATCCTTTCTCCCTTGGTTAATGTTAGGCTTCCTCTGACTCATTTGCCTTTTCATTTTCTTCTTTCCATTATGAAGATAAATAGCATATATATTTTTTAAAATGTAAAATTGAATAGCTCTTCAAAAATTTAAAAGCCATTCTCGCCTAGCAGAGGATGGTTTCGATCCATCGACCTCTGGGTTATGGGCCCAGCACGCTTCCGCTGCGCCACTCTGCTGACAACGAGTGGAGCTGGCTTTTTATTCGTCCAATTGACCGTTTCATCTCCATAAATGTGGCAATCATTTCTCCCCATTTTCGTCTTTTTTCTGAGGATTCTCTTCTCAAACCCAGAGGAAACCTTCCTGCTGTATCTCCCAATCCCGAACCATCCTACTCCACCAGTGAAGACAAGAACTGCCTCGCTCGCTCTGAACCTCCGACTACAATTTTACTATTTCTGTACAAATGCTAAAAGAGAAATGAAGTATTGCGTGTGTATATGCCTATGTGAATTCTACCAGTGAGCGTTCCCACATTTTCCAGTCAATGGAAAGATGATTAATAATAATTTAAATATACAGCGCCTTATAACTCTCCTTTCCTCCCCATGCATATGTTGAACGCTGGGCTATGTAACACTAGAAGCAATTTAGTTTCGTTTCTAGTGTGTATTTTACGTTAGCTGCAACCTTAAGAAAAAGTCATCGGGTTTTGGGGGTTCTTGTCCTAAGCTTCACAAGCAAAATAAGGAAGAGCACAGAACTTTTCCTGAAAACAAGCTCTGAAAATGCTTTGCCTAAGTCCAAAAGAAAAAAGAGGACGAGGTCTCCATGAAGGGATAGGCAGCCTAGCTGGACGAGTTAGGGTTTGCACACCCGCAGCGTCAGAGCCGGAACAGACCCGGAATGAGAACTCCGGAAGTCTAGTTCCCGCCCGCGCTGTTTCAGTTCCCAAACAGGTCGGCTCAGTGGATATATAAAGGAGTGCTGCCCGCTGGAAGCTACACTGTTCGGTGGTGCTTAACTCATCATGTCTGGTCGTGGCAAGGGAGGCAAGGGGTTGGGCAAAGGAGGTGCCAAGCGGCACAGGAAGGTGCTCCGGGATAACATCCAGGGCATCACCAAGCCCGCCATCCGTCGTCTGGCTCGGCGCGGCGGCGTCAAGCGTATCTCGGGGCTCATCTACGAGGAGACCCGCGGCGTGCTGAAGGTGTTCCTGGAGAACGTGATCCGGGACGCCGTCACCTACACCGAGCACGCCAAGAGGAAGACGGTCACTGCCATGGACGTGGTCTACGCGCTCAAGCGCCAGGGCCGGACCCTCTACGGCTTCGGCGGTTAAGTTCAGCTGCGATTTGCCAGCCTGCCAAGAAAAACCAAAGGCCCTTTTCAGGGCCCCTCAAACTTTTCGTTTAAAAGGGCCGTAACCAGTCTCTTTTGCAAGGATTAAAAACCTTTCCTAGGTTTAGCTTAAACGAGATACATGTAAGACTTTTATTTGACTTGCTTTTTAAATTTCAGTACTTAAGAATTGCTTTTACATCCTTTGTCTCTGCAAATAGTTACAGAGCTTCTATATAAAGCAGAAAAAATCTTTCCTGTTCTTAGTGAAATATTCTGGCGGGCTCACCCAAGGTCAGTTGGCCGGGGGTAGACTGGAAGCAAAAGGACACAATTAAGTTCCTTGGCGGGAAAATTGGTGAAACAATCGCTAAATGACTAACTTCCGGGCCCGGTCAGAGAATTCAAACCAGAGTAATAGACTTTATAAACTCGATTTTCCAAATTTACTGAGTTTTTAGTTTCATTTCTGTCCTGTAGGCTTAGTCTATCAGACCAGTTTAGGTACTGGTTACCAGGAGGTTTACCCGAGGGGGAAAGACTAGGTATTTTTACTGGATCGGTTACTTTATACATAGTAAAATACTTTTAAATTCCCGCACTAACTTGGGTTCCCTTAACTTTAAATGTGTGGTTCTTTGTAGGTTTTCTTTACGTAGATAGGCTGCGTGTGTCAAAGTAGTAATTGGATTAGATAATGTTGAAGTCACTTCCATTTCTAAATTTTTGTGGTTGTGAATATTATCAAGAGGTACCCTGATTAGTAAGATGTGGTTTTCAGGAATATGGTTATCCCTGGAAGAATTCCTCTTCCCTCATTAAAAGAAGGATAATAAGATTTTTTAGATTTTATAGATTGCTCCCTTTCCATCCTGGATTAGAATTTACTCAGGAAGAACAACCTTTACAATTTTCTTTCAGATCTCTCAATATGTACACAAAGCACAGTAGGATAGTGCTATGCACACAGCAAATGACACTATTGAATAGAAAACTACTTTCCTAATGGTTCCTTGAAATTTTTGTTTTCAGAATTCTCCCTTTTTATAGAGATTTCTCTATATGGTGAAGCTCAAACTCCCAGTTTGTTGAACTATGGGGATTTAACAATTGAAATCAATTCAATAAGCATTTCTTAAATGCTTACTTTGTTCAAGTTCTCAAGGCCTAAGTTCAAGGAGTTTCCAATTTACTGAAGAAAATCATTTGATCATAATTTAGAGCTGGAAGGAATCTTAAGCCATCATCTATTCCAAACTTCTCATTTTAGAAATGAGAAAGTGAAGGCCAAAAAATTGGATTGACTTTCCCAAAGTCAAGAAGATAGAAAATGGGAGATCAGGATTTTGAATGAGTCCTCTACTTCCAAAGCCAGTAGACTTTCTACTGTTCTATAGTGTCCCCTGCAAGACATTCAACGCCCCCCCAACTACAAAATAGATACAACATAAATGCAAAGCAATTTGGGGCTGAGAGAAAAGCCAAGGTACTAATAACTAGAAAGGTCTCTTGAAGATTTGTCCTTTGAAGAAACTTAAGAGTCTCAAGAGGTGAAGGTGAGGAGAGAGGTCTTTCCAGAGGTACAGAACCTGTGACAGTTGTAATGGATAAATAGCCTGGTGTAGAGGATAAGAGTGGACTTGGATGTCCAAAGGATACATGGAGAAGAGCAAATGAATGGTTCAGTGTGACTGGGGAAGGGAGAAAGGGTATTCTTGTATGTATATGGTGCAAAGTGCCATAGCTATGTGCTATGTGCCAGGCACTGTGCTAAGTTACAAATGTTACCTCATGTAATCTGACTGAAATGTACAGAGCTTGAAGTGGAGAGTAATTTCTAGTCGACCTGGAAAAGAAGTCTGGATCTATTCTAGACTGTGAAGGGCTTTAAATTCCAAACAATAGGGGCAGCTCGGTGGTGAAGTTGATAAAAGCTCAGGCCTTGGAGTCAGGAGGACCTAAATTCAAAATTAACCTTACTAGCTGTGTGACCTGGGCAAGTCATTTAACCCCAAAAGCCTCAAAAAAAAAAAAATTCCAAACAAGCCACTTTGTATTTCAATCTTAGAGGCTATCAGGAGTCACTGAAATTTCAAAAACATGGGACTGGAATGATCAAAGTTCCAATATAAAAGATGCAGGAATGGTAGATGGATCAGACTTTTCTTATTTGGGCCTGAAGTCTCCATTATATAAATGGGATGAAACCTCTTATAGCTAATTTCATCCTTGGTTAATTTATCCTCTGAGCACTGTGGGAGGAGAGGCATAGTTCTCCCTCAGAACTGATAGCTCAGTGCTTTAAAAAAAAAAAAAAAGGCAAAACAGTGTTTAGTGCCATCTGCCTTTTAGTGACCTCTCAAGGCAGACTGGTGACCTAATTGTCAAGATTGTCAGAATTCTGCTGCTACTCCTGAGTTCAGGGTCTCCTTAGCCATACCACTTGTCTCCTTTCTCTCCCACTCCAGTCATGTCCCATAGTTTGCTTCCTATTCTGACAGTCTTTTTGATCCTTCTGTACTTGCCTTATGATCCACCTTACTGATTCAAGATGCCCTAATATGTGAAGTTAAACAAAAGCCATATGGAAAACAGGCTTTAGTGTTTGGAGGCTGGCTTGAAAGAGTTGAGAGTTTCAAACAGTGAACAAACTTCAGGGCATCTGTGTTCCTTTCATTGTTGCTATTCAGTATCCTCAGCTCTGGGACTATACAGATAAGAAATATCTAAAAGTTTCCTGTCTCTTTGCAGGGAATAATAATGTTTCAAGGTCTGTCATGGAGTGAGCCACACTCTCTCCCTTTATATTTTCTCTTCTTCCTCTTCACAACCAATTATAATGCTCAAAGATCCTAAAAAGTAGATTTTCGAATGGAGATACCAGATAATATCCCACCAGACATTGTCCCAAAATCCCTCTGAAGCAAGGAAAAGTCACCAGGACTTAGAAGCTAGGATTCTTTCTACAGATGAGTGAATGACTTAGAAGCCACTGTGTTGTCATCCAGTGAACTAAATGCACATGTTATCCTTCATGAGGCTGGGGTCACCAGCTGGCCTAGGACTTGGGAACTCTAGAGGTCAGATAATAATACATTTAAGTAAACGCTAAACCATTCAAGTCAACAAGCACTTATTAAGTTCCTATTGTATGCCAGGTACTACTCTAAACACTGGTGATGAGGAGGGAAAAGGCAAAAACACATAGTCTCTACTCTCAAGGAACTCCTGTTCTTCTGGGAGAGACAACATGCAAAAAAAAACTATGTACATATAACATATATACATATATACATACATATATATAGTGTAGATGGGAGGTAATATCAGAGAAAGGCACTAATAGTGGACTGGGGGGTGACAGGGCAGGATGGGAAAGGCCTCTTGCAGGAGACAGGATTTGAGCTAAGTGTTTACAAAATCCATGAAGTCCAGGAGGTAGAAATGAGAAGGGAGGATATCTTGGGCATGGGGTACAATCAGTGAAAAAATTAGTCAGGAGATGGAGTGTCCTGTAGGAGAAAAAGTAAGGAAGCCAGGCCAATGTCATTGTACCAAGAATCCTTGGAAGGTAATACATTGTAAGAAGACCATAAAGATAGGAAGTGGCTAGAGTGAGGAACTTTAAAAACCATAGATTTTCTATGTGATCTTGGAGGCAAAAGGAAGTCACTGTAGTTTACAGGTTAGGAAGGTGACATAGTCAGAAAGAAGATCATTAACAGCTGTGTGGAGAATGGACAGGAATGACAGATTAGGCAGAGCAATCAACTACCTGGCTGATACAATAATCGGGAAGAGAGGTGATGAGGGCACATCCTGAAAAAAGAGATTGTGAAGGTAGAAATCACGAGAATTGACAACACATTAGCTATGTGGGGTGAGTTGGAGTGAAGCTTTGAGGTTGACGTTGAACTAACAACAATGTTAGTCTCACCATCTATGGCCCTGTTGTTTGTGACCCCAAACAGCTTTCAATCAATTTGCCTTTAGATACATTAATTCTGTGCAAGGACTCTCTTTTATTCCTCTGATATGGCTGATGGTTTATCATCACTCATACCCACACACACATTCCACACACACACAAAAACCAACTGATTTAGAAAACAGTTGCTGCTAAATGATGGAGATAATTAGTGGGCAGGTTAATATAACCAATCACCTTTCCTGCCCTTGTGAACCTCTATACAAAGTCACTTGTCTATCTCTGCTGTAGACTATCTCCACCTATGATTTTAATCCTTCCCCTTCTCAAACGCCTTGCCAGCCAGTGAGAAAGATGCACACACATACAGGACTATTAAATCAATGGCCATTATTTTCATCCAAATTCTGGCCGCTTAGGCTGTACAAAGCCTAGTCCTTAAATTTGACCTCATTTAAGTGGACCATATTAAATGCCACCCTACATTCATTGTGTTAGTTTCACTTCTGTTGACTTGGAATTTGACTTTGTGTTTGCTGTAAAAAATAGATATATTTGAAAATATATTGAAATAGATATATTTATGTTATGCTTGAAAATATCCAATAATTTGTACCATTACTTTACATCCTCCCTAACAGGATCACATGCCTTATAGTGGGGAAACTGTCTCAAAAACTTAAAAATAATGAAGAATAATGCTTTTGTGATATTGTTTTATTAAAGAGAAACCAACTTGAATTTAGCTTAGTCTCAGCTGGTCACCTAGATTTCCCAAAGCAAGACTCAAACAGAACAGACTTGGTACAGACCTCCTTGACAGGAAACCTGACCTTTGTATTTATTAAGCTATTTATTTATCTATCTATTTATTTATCCATAGCAGCATAGCATAATGAAAAGTTGGCATTTACACGCCAGCTTTGCTGTCTTGGATGATTTACTGAGCCATTCTAAGCCTCAATTTTTTTAGTTGTAAAAATAGGAAAGTAAGACTTGAACTACTACCTGAAATAGTTTTTGTGACAAAAGCACTTTGTAAACTTTAAATTTCTTTATATCCTATTATAGCTAAGTGAAAATGTGGTTTTGAGGCATACAGAGTGTGCTAGGCACTATGGCAGATTAAAAAAATGAATCATATTGTCCCTGACAACAATAATAATAATATCACAAATTTACATAGCCCTAAGAATGGCTATCAGCAGAATTCCAGTATCTCTAAATGTTGTCGTTGTGATCTGCTCTCCCCTGCCTTAACTTTACCTTCTTCTTTGTTTATTCTTTTATGAAGCATTTTTGTGTGCTTAGCAGAATGCTAAGCAGAACCTGGGGTCATAAAGACAAAACGAATAGTCTTTATCCTTTAGGAGCTTACATTCTACTTGGGGATGCCACATTCATACAGCAAAAATAATTGCAAGATAATTTGGAGAGGGAGACAGCAATAAGGGAATGAAGAGAGACACAGGAGGTAGTCAGCTTAGGTGAGCCCTGAAGGAAGCCAAGGATTCTAAACTCAACACAAACTGGTCAACAGCCATGACGTTCTGGAGGGAATGCAGAGCTGAACACATAGGCCAGGTTGGTGGGAATACAGAGAACTTGAAGGGGAATGTTGTTTAACGTCTGGAAAGGTAGATTAGAATCACACTGTGGAGAGCTTCAGCTGTCCAGATGAGGAGATTCTATTTCCCTCAAAAGGCAGTAGGAAAGTACCAAAGATTTTGAGGATATAAGCAGGTTTGTTTGTATGTTGGGACACTATCTGGGCAGCTCAGTGGAAAATTGGTTACAGAGGGGAGATTGGTGGTAAAAAGACCAATTAGGAGGATATTTTAATAGCCCTCCCTAAACTTGCTGCTTCTCCTGGCTTCATTATAAATACATCTTCTATCACTATTCACCAGGTCTTCCATTTTCACAACCTCCTTCTCTCTGGTATCACCCATATAAGTTACTAAGTTCTAGCCATAACACACCTGCAGATCTTATGTCATCCAGTAGCTTTGCTTCAGCTGCAGTGAAGCAAAAAGCGAGATAGATTTGGTGAAGGAGTAGCCACGTCCAAACCCCACCACTGCCACTGTGTGCCCTTTGTTGGGCTACTGTTCTCTGGGCCATGGGTTCTTCATCTGTAAAAATGAAGAGGTTGAACCATGTGACCCCTAGGTAAATTGATGATTCTATAAGCCTAGTTCAAATCCTCAGAGCAGGCCTTCATTAACACTCCAGTTGAACTATTTAAAGGGTCACCCTTTGAACAAGCCATTTCTAGAAGCCATCCCTATATCTACAAAGTGAAGGGATTTATGTATATGAACTAATTGCTTTGGATAAATGGAAAACATATTAAGTGTTCACTATGCATGGAGCACTATGCTAAGTGCTGGAAATACAAACAGAATATTGAGCTAGCCCACTGTTCTCAAAGAACTCACATTCAACAAATATAGGAAGGTTCAGTTGAAGGTCTGGGGGTCCTTAGGGTACATTGGCAAATCACATGGCAATGCATAGGGAATTAAACAGCATAGTGGCAGGTGAGATAGTAAGGCTTGGTGGCCTGCCATCTTACCAGGAGGATTATATGTGGTACCTCCCTGCTCATCCATGTCCACTCAGGAAAAAAAAAGGAAGAACTGGAGGGACCATGCTGAATTTAGGGAGTTGGTCTGAAGAATGGAATGGAACAGGGACTCTGTGTCCCTTCCTGCAGAGGTCAGGATAAAGTTGGTCAGCATACAGCCAGGAGGGGGGAAAGGGAAGGAGTAACTGGCAGGAAGTTTGGGGGAAAGGGCTGCCCAGAGTGCCAGGTCTGCCAGATGGCATCTTAGCCCTGCCCAAGGTTGCAAAGGAGCAGGAGGGGCAGCACACCAGCTCAAATCCCTGGACTTCAGGTGTGGTATTCCTTCTGCTGTATTAAGCCTATGAACAGATCTTTCTGCTATCTTTCTTTGTCATGCCCACCCTCTACAAATCATCTTTCATACCACTGATAGGATAATATTTCTTACACATGGATTTAGTCATGTCATACCTTTTCTCAAAAATCTTCAACTGCCTGCTATTTTCCATTGACAACAGCCTTGCCTTAACAAGGCAATAACAGACAATTGTAAAGTCTTTTGCAATCTGTTCCATGGTGACAATGGAATGCCTTCCCCCATCTCCAACTTTGGAATCAGACAGACCCAGGTTCAAATCTTGCCTCTGATGCTTGCTGCTTGTGGGATCTCAGTTTCCTGGTCTATAAAATGATATATTTGGAATAGACGGCCTCCCAAGTCCCTTCTAGGCCTACAATTATCATACTCTTCTGGGCATCTCATATTACTTCCTGGCAATGAATACATATGACAGCGAATGTATGAGTTATATTTCCAGAGACTAATATTTTGTGCTTCCTCAGCTTTGTTCATAGAGGGAGATATAATGAAATCACTTAGACAGACTTGGAGAATCTGACTTGATTCTCAGCTCTGAAATTTATTAGCTGTGTGACCATTGGCAAATAATTTCTCTGAATTTCAGTTTCCTCATCTGTAAAATGGAGGTAATAACACTTACATCACAGGTTTGATCAAAAGAAATAACATTTAAATCATTCTGCAAACCTCAAAGTGCTATCAAAAAAAAAGTGCTAGCTATTAATATGAACACTCCTCTAATAGGTCAATATAAAAAAACAGAAAGTGAAACTAGCTTGCTGTCATAACCTGTATCTCCTCTCTCACTCCTCCAAGTTTTATTTTTCTTGAGCTGTACCTTCTCTAAGCTAGGTGGTGCAGTGGACAGAATTGTAGATTAAGAGTCAGGGAAACTGGAATTAAATCTGACCTGAGATACTTATGAGCATCCTTTAATCTGTCTGCCTCAGTTCTCTCATCTGGAAAAGGGGGCGAATAATAGCATCTACCTTCCATGGCTACTATGAGGATAACATGAGATTATATTTGTAAAAATGCTTTACAAATCTGAAAAAAAAATCCTATAAATATTATGAACTCCATAAATTATAGAATCTTTCCATATTTATGTTGGTTCTCAAGTAACAAAAGTATTCTTTTCATGGTTACCGCCCAAACCCTGGGCAAGTCAAAGCCTTTCTTATTTATGCATTGTTGATAGAGAATGAATTCATGGAGGGATTTTGTAATAAGAAGGTAATTTAATGATTGTTCTGAGAGCTGTTGGGGATCTGAAAGACCTGAGTTCTAGTTCCTGATGTCATCCACCAGCTGTATGGCCTGGAGCAAATCCAAGGGCCTTAATTTCTTTATCCTTAAAATGAGAAAGTTGGATGAATTTGCTTTTCTTGTCCTTTTCAGCCCTAAAATTTCACAATTTCAATAAACACTAGCAGGTATTTGGGGGGGGATTTTTTTTTTTTTGCTTTCATCCCACCCCCACCACACTAGGACGGTTTTGCGTGAGTAGGTTGAGGTTCACAGTTCACAATTATATAAACCTTAGAGGCTCTGGAATCAGTGTTATGTTGGTAATACGTTGGTAACTATTTCAATAGAATTAGTTTCCTTTGAAATCCTATGTATTTAATTTCAAGCACTTAAAAACGTTCTGGTTTACATGAACTAATGCACAGTGAAGTGAACAGAACCAGGAGAATGTTGTACACAGTAACAGCAATATTGTTCCACGAAGAACTATGAATTCTCAGCAATACAATGATCCAAGACAATCCCGAAGGACTAATAATAAATCATACTATCCATCTCTAGAGAAAGAACTGATATTGTTTGAAGACAGACAGAAGCATGCTATTTTTCACTTTCTTTCATTTTTTCTTTTATTCGAGTCTTCTTGTACAAAATGACTAATAGGGAAATATTTTACATAATTGCACATGTATAACCCATATCTGATTGCTCAACGTCGGGGGGTGGGGCGGGAAGGGAGGGAAGAAGAAATAAAATTTGGAACTCAAAACTTTAAATAAAAATGTTTAAAAAAAATTTTTAAACCAGTTCTGAGAAGGGATTCACAGGCATCACCAGCCTGCCAAAGGAAGGGACCAGCGAACACAAGACACTAGAAAGGTTACGAACACCTAAACAATGGTCCGTAAGTTCCCTTCTAGATTTAACTCCATGATTTAGTGTGCAAAGTTTAAATCAAATAAACCAGCCCTTAGCGCCTATTTTGCCCTGAACTCCTCAGGCAGGGTATGGAAGACTTAGCTCTTACTTGTACCTGACTTTATTTACAGAATCTTCCAGCGAATTTTACCTGAAAAGATCTAAACCTCCCTTTTCTGAACCGAAATCAAACATCAGGAAAGGTTTCTTTCTTTGTTTCTTTGGTTTTTTCCAATTAGAGGAGACTCTATTCTTTAAGTATTTTAAAATGACGTATTCTTGAATATAGTGGGCGGGAAACAACCCCAAAGCCCTGGCCCCGCCCACGCTGTTTCAGTTCCCAAACAGGTCGGCTCAGTGGATATATAAGGGAGTGCTGCCCGCTAAGGGATACACTGTTCGGTAGTGCTTAGCAATCACCATGTCTGGTCGTGGCAAGGGAGGTAAGGGTCTGGGCAAAGGAGGTGCTAAGCGACACAGGAAGGTGCTCCGGGATAACATCCAGGGCATCACCAAGCCCGCCATCCGTCGTCTGGCTCGGCGCGGCGGCGTCAAGCGTATCTCGGGGCTCATCTATGAGGAGACCCGCGGCGTGCTGAAGGTGTTCCTGGAGAACGTGATCCGGGACGCCGTCACCTACACCGAGCACGCCAAGAGGAAGACGGTCACTGCCATGGACGTGGTCTACGCGCTCAAGCGCCAGGGCCGGACCCTCTACGGCTTCGGCGGCTAAGTCAGCAGCAATTTGCCAGCTTGCCAAGAAAAACCAAAGGCCCTTTTCAGGGCCCCCCTCCATTGTCTAATGGAGGAGCTGTAATCCACCTACCTGGTTTTTGTTCATAGTTCTATTCTATAATATAGCTTTTCACTCTGTTCGTGCTATTTTTAAAAAGCATTTTAGAAGATTGCACAAAATGAGGGGTTGGGTTTCTTCATAAGGAAACCCCGCTGCCTGTCCTTCAACAGTGCTGTGCCGCATAAAAGGATTTATTTTTTTCTCCCTCACGTTCACAGGCTCACAAAATGGAGTGCTGTCGTATGTTTCTCTAGGGAGGGCAGCCTGGGCGGAGAGGGTGCCAAAGATGTCGCGAGAATGGGAGGGAGGGGGTGGAAAGCGTAAGCCAATTGGAGTGTTCCCTCGGTAAATACCGGATCTCTTGTCCAATCAGAAAGGGAGTTTCTTATCCGGCACGGCTGAGGATCTTATGGCATCCTATAAAGCCTTCACCCATTTCCACGAAGTACTGGAAATTTTAAAAGCACCCATAGGTAGAAGGAAGGCAGCCAGAAAAGTGGAGGGTGGCCTTTGAAAAACAAACAAACAAACCCTGTAATTACTGGAGAAAGAGCTGTAGATCCTTTTTGTAGATCATTGGTGAGGGGTATTGATGAGAACAGGAGGATCCAACTGCTGCAGTCTGATGACCTTATGCACGTGCCTTAATTACCCCCTCTGTAGAAGCTGAGATACAGTCCATTCTGTATCAATTTCTGCGGCTTTAAGGATTATGAAAGATTTCGAGATTTGAAGATTTAGATGCCAAGAATTGACTGCCAAACCAAAAACCGGTGGAAAGCAGATTTTTCAATTAATTTATAAACATTAATGAGTCACTATACTGTCGAGCACTGTGCCCAGGGCTTGGTGGGATACAGAGAAAAAGCAAAATTAATTCCAGCGCTTAAGGAGTTCATCTTCTCCATCCCCGACCCTGCATTGGAGCATTTTTATTTGTATATGTATGTTTTAAACCCTTAGAAAAAGAATTCCAGGATTTTTCCTCTTGTTTTTGTCTTGCTTCCTCATGGTCCATAATGCCAGCTGAGGTTGTAAGTGCAATGAACCCAAACTGACAGCATGATAGCAGATTATTCTTCCACTTTTCCAGATCTTTCGATTGCACATCAAAGCTGGGACTGATCACCACACTTGTTTAATCTGCACGTGAGATTCACAACAACTTTTCCTGCTCTGTGATCATCATTGATCTCAAATTCGCCGATGTAACCATGCTGCATCATCACAGTTAAGAACCGGACAATTACTTTAGAGCTAGGCCTAACGAGAACGTGGCGTTTTCCTCGATTTTCTGCCTGTTGATGCTTTTGAGAGCTTCTGCTAGGACGTTCATGTGCACCATTGTGGCATGGTGGAAAGAGCAGGAGTTTGCATTCTTAACAGAGTCAATATATACCAGAGTTAGTAAATGCAAGATAAATATAAAATAGATGGGAGGTAGCCTTGGTGGGAAAAGCTTTAGCAGCTTGGGGGTTGGGAGGAGGCTGGGAGACACCAGGAAAGATTTCTGGAAGAGGATGTGCTTGGATTGAATTTTAGGAAGCCAGGAAATTTTCAGAAGTGGAGTTTAGCAAGGGGAGCATTCCAGGTCTCAGGGACAGCCACTGCAAAGGCAAGGAGATGCAGAGTTCTGCAGCAAAGCCTGTATGGTTGGACTGTATATATGGAGGCTGGTATGTCTGGACAGAAGAGTTCCTGGACAGTATCAATGTGCTGCAAGCAAGAAAGGAGAGGAAGGGACCAGATTGTGAAAAGCCTTTAAAAGCCAGAGCCTTTCACATAAGATAGTAAGATTGGAAGGTGGAATGGGAGACCATGTTATACATTTATTTCCTCAGTGCCAATCATGGTGTTATACATATAAGTGAATTAATGAAAGAAAACATTTGTTAGGCTCTTACTATGTGCTAAGTGGCTACAAATGCAAAAGCAGAGAAAACATCAGCTCTTATGGAGCTTACATTCTTTTTTCTTTCTTTTTCCAAATTTTTATTTTTTTATCCTGAAATTAAACACAAAAAAACAGCATTTCCACATACAAAGCATAACAGGAAAATAGGATTTTATAAGAAATTAAACTGTTATTTCATAGAGCTGCTTTAAAAAAAAGTATGTAATTCTATGTTTCTTTAAAAATGGTCCTTATTTGTGCTTCCTTCTAAACTTCCTATCCTTCCCTTCTGAGTGCTTAAAATACATTTTCAATGTTCCTCCCCCCCTTTTTTTTTTTATTTTGGCACCACTATTGTTAATTCCCTCTTGTACCAAATAAGAATAGTCAAGCAAAAGGAATCCACACATTAGTGATTTCCAGAAACATATGTTTATTTCTGAACCTTGAGACAGGAGGGAAGTAACATATTTCATCATTGATGCTCTGGAGACACTGGTGATCTTTGCCTTGATAAGAATTCTTAAATTTTTAAGGTGTTTTTCTTTACAAAGTTTTCTGTCCTTGTATAAATCATTTTCCTGTTTCAGCTGAAATTATTCTGTGTAAATTCAGCCGCTAATCGGTGCAGGGCATAGTGTGGACTTCTCCCCAAACTATTTTGAATCCCCAAGACCTGAGAAAGGCTTGAAACCTGGATTGGTCAATCGGGAGAGACATTTTTGACCCATTTTGGCCTAACCTCCCATAATGCTTTGCATGCTCTGGCATAACAGACAGGCTTGGCTTTGCTCTCTAGGTGAATTCAAAATGCCCCTTCCTGTGTTAGCAACTACATGGCCAGATGAAGCTGACCAGGAGCATTCTTCTGTTTATGACTAGCAAGGACAAGGTGCCTTGAACCTGACACTATCTTCAATAATGAGACATTTCTTATCTTGGTATTCTATAGACACATGTTCTATTATGTTATGTTATGTTATATTATGTCATATCATGTCATGTTAATGATAGAAGAAACACAGACATCCTGGATTTATAATTTCAATTGATACTTTGACATTCTCTTATTTTATTGTATTTACAATCTATCCACTTAAGAAATTCCTTTCTCATATTATGGTTAACACATATAGAGACTATAATTTTGGCTGACTTAGGCATCCTGAGCCAGGAAGGGAGGGAGGGGTGAGAGGGTCCCTTTTGTCCATTCTTGGGTTCATTTTCTACAATGAACTCCCACACATATCTCTACAGGTATGTTCCACAAGCTTTGAGAGAAATAAACCTGCACATGCAGCCTAATTTTGTTTGTCTTTCTTAGAACGAACTCAGTAATGGTTGATAATAACCACAGAGTATTAGACTTGTATTTAAGAAGTCCTGAGTTCAAATGCTGCCTCAGACACAAGATGTGTGTGACCCTGATAATTAACCAACCTCTTTTTGCCTCAGTTTTCTCATCTGTATAATGGGAATAATAATAGTGCCTGCCTCCCGGGGTTGTTGTAAGGATCAAAGGAAATAACATATGGCAAGTGCTGTGCAAACCTTAAAATATTGTATTGGTAGCTATCATTACCTAAGATTCTCTGAAAGATGCACTTTTGTTGAAAAAAATATGTTCCATGCTGCTCATATGCCACGTTTTGTTCAGCCATCTTTGCTTTTCTTTGAGGAGTTTACATTCTAATACAGGAAAAGAATCCTGACCAGAGAGGGGAGGGGACTGGCATACCCTTTCCAGAAACAATGACAGAGTTTGTTTGGTTGTGCCTTGAAAAATGGAGATAGATGTGGGAAGGAGAATGGATCAGCTGTGAGGAGACTGCCTGAAAGTGGGAAGAGAAGTAAATTGTGGTTGGACCAACCTGAAAAAGTGGGTAGGTGGAGTAGTTCATGATCAGGATAGAAATGCAAGGAAACTGAAGAAAGTAAATAGTCAGTGAACACCCTTTCCCCCCTCCCCTCCATGACTTTCACTTCATCCTTATGTGGGTGATTTTAGAATCCTGCCCTTCCTAGACAGGATGTATTAGGAATTATAAAGGTCAAGCCTCTGGCTTCTGGTGAGCTGAAGAGATGTTTAGCTTGGATGGAAGGAAGGAAGGAAGGAAGAAAAGGAAGAAAACAGCATTTATTAAGCATGTACTATATGCCAAGCACTGTGCCAATCCTTTTACAAATTTTATCTCATTCAATCTGTTCACAACAACCCTGAAAGGTAGGTGCTATTATTATCTCTATTTTACGGTTGAATAAACTAAGGCAGACAGAGGTTATGGGACTTGGCCAGCGTCCCACAGCTAAGTGTGTGAGGCCAAATTTGAACTCAAGTCTCCCTGACTCCAACTCCAGCACTAATCCACTCTGTCACCTAGACCTTGAAATCTCTCAATATAATGGCCTTTCCTCAGTGCTCATCCTTCTTAACTATTTGAAGCATTCTATACTATCAACTATACCCCTCCTTCTTAATATTTTCTCTACCTTAGCTTCCAAGACACTCTCCTGGTTCTCCTCTTCCTCGTTCTCTTTTGCTGGTCCTTTTCCTGACCCCTTAAGGATGTATTATTCCCCAAGATTCTCTCTTTGGGCCTTTTTTTCCTCTCTCTAAGCTCCTTAGTAATTGCATCAGCTCCCACTACTTTAACTATTGCTCTAAACTAGTGATTCCCAAATCTAGAGGTGTGTGGCATAGTAAATAGAGAGCTGGAACATGAATCTTAGAAACTTGGATTCAAATACTATTGCAACATTTCAAAGTTGCATAACCATAGGCAAGTCACAGCCTCTCTGAATCTGTTTCTTCATCCGTAAAAAGGGAATAATGAAAGTACTGGGGCAGGGCCAACAACACTTCAGTCACTGCCCTGCTTTCTCTGCTGTCTGGTCTCTGTAGCTCTGTGACTATTTCTTATTAGTCACAGGATATGTCTAAGGATATGATTTTCTTTCTTAGGATTTGTCACTTAGGATTTTGTGTTATCCCTCTTCACTCTGCAGAACATAAAACAACAGAATATAGATGTGCATACACACCTCTGTACATAGCTATATTAGTAAGTAAAACCTTTATGCCCTTGCTGGGATCTTTGTATGC